GAAGGAGAAGAAGGAGGAGGAAGAGGAAGAGCCATAGTAAGGGCCACAGCAGCCCACCACTGCTCAAGGCTCAGTGTCTAGATTTCCACATGCTTGTCCCCCTGCCTGCCTCACCCATCTGTTAGAGGGTGTGATGGACAGAGCCCTAGAATCTGGATGCGAATCGGGGCCTTTCTTCCTCTAACCTGGGTGTCCCTGGCGAGTCATTTTCCTTCTCTCCATCTCAGTTTCTTCCTCTCAATTCGCTCCCAGGTGCCTTCAAACTCTAAATCCTGTGAATCCCTAAATGTTATAACCCCCATTTTACAGATGAGGAAAGCGAGGCTCACCAAAGTAAGGTGACTTGGCCCCCATTACCTCGAGGAACCTCAAATCCTCTGCCTTTGTACAGACAGTCTTTAATTCCACTTACCATTCTCTTTTTACTCCGATGGCAGGAGCTCAGGTTCCGGGGCTCTCCACTGTCCCATCAGCTCACTTCAGTTCAGTCCAATTAAGCAGACAGCCATAATTCCTAAGAACAAGGTTACTCATGTTATGAAGATCCCTCCAAGATGACAAAGCATCCTCCTCACAACAGCCCAGCACAATCCACCCTCATTGTCCACAGGGAGAAACTGAGGCTTGGGTTTCCTCGCTAGTCAGTGGGGAAGAAGGTTCAGGGTGCCCGACTCCAAGCCTGGCGCCCTCGCCACGTTCCTACTCTGCCTTGACAACATGTCAGCTTCTTTCTCCCGTCTTGCTGTCAGACAGGCCTGGGGAAGAAAGGGACGTATTGTAGGCTTTATTTTTTTCTTAATGAGACACACAAATCAGCAGCAGTCACTTTGTAGGAGACTTTCAAAGCTCTGGTGGTTTCAAATCAAAGACGAGGCAGCGAGAACTTAGACTGTTTAAATAGCAAGGTTAAGAAGAAAGAAAGAAAGAAAAGAAAGCAATTCCCAAGGAGAAGAAGGTTAGAAAAGAGCCAAATGTCCCCAAGCACAGAGGGCCATTCAGGCCTTTGCCCTGCTTCTGCCTCAGCTCAGTGTTCTTCTGTGTGACAAGAGAAGATGCCTGTTACAGACTCATCGGCTGCTGGACTGTCCACGTGAAGAAGCCTTGGCCATCACCTCTCGCCTTGCTCAGTGCCCGACAATACGCTGTCTGCTGGTGGCAGAGTTGGGTCATCCAGGCTCACTCACAACCCTCTCTAAAGGGTCAGCTGCCCTAAAGCATGCCTCACAGGCAGCCCTCCAACCTGAGCTGGCAGACCTCCAGGGAGGGGGACAGAGCCCACTGCTCTCGTTGTGAGGGACTTTGTCCTGACATCAGAAATAAATGAAATCTTTGCAACTGGCACCCGCTGCTCCTGGTTCTGACCTCTCAGGCCAAGCAGAATAAATCTGGTCCCACGTCCACATGATGGTGCTTCAGACCCTTGAAGACAGCCCCTGTTCTGTGCCCCCCAGCCCCAGTCATCTTTTCTCCAGGTCCTTTGGTAGGTAGATCCTCATGACATGGACTTTTTTTTTTGTTACATTTTTATACTTCCAATTTTGTATTTATTTTTATCTTTTAAAATAATTTTATTAATTTATTTTTAGTTATCAACAATCACTTCCATAAGCTTTTGAGTTTTAGGCTCTACATATACATTCCCATTAAACATATTTTCACACTAATGACATGGATTGTAAGGCCCATCACCATCCCGAGGGCTCTCCTCTGGGTCATCCACAGCGCCTCAGTTCCTCCTTGTACCATTTCAGTCCATTTAGTCTGGCTGGTACAGAGCCCCGTGACTCCCTCCTTCTTCCTGAGAGCGTTGCCTCTTAACACGGCACAGGCTGAAAGGAGCTTCTGGGCCTCTGCAAGGGAGCTGCTTATTTATATCGTGCTCCCAGATCCCCCAAACCCCTGCTCTTTTGCGGATGACTCGCTGTCTGACCAGGCATTCCACATACTGTAATTGTGGGTTGACTGTTTGAATCCAAGTGTAAAACTTTACATTGATCCTTACATTACATCGATCCAGCTCAGTGTTCGAGCCCAACCAACACCTTTTGGCTCCTGACACTGCCTCCCATGGGTTGGTGATCCCTCCCAGCTTGGTGTCATCCACATGTCTGATGCCCTGCTATTCAAGGCATTAATAAAATGCCAAATGCGCAGAGGCAAGCCCAGATCCTGGGGGTGCTCCCCTGGAGGGCCCCTGCCGCCCTGTCCTGCCCTGTCCCACCAGCATTAAACCCATTGTATCATCATCTCACCCACATCTCTGTCTTTTCTCTAAAACAGCATGACCTACAAAGCATCAGGTGCTTTGCTTGAACTCTGGGTGGGTGATGCCGTAGCATTCCCCTGATCTGCTCCTGGAGCGGGTCTCCCCTGAGCTGAGGATGCCATGCTGGCCCTGGGTGGACACCACTTCTCCTCATTGTTCACTGATCAGCTCTTTAAAGATCAATCACAGAATCTGCCCAGGGATCCAAGTCAAGCTCCCTGGCCTGCAGTTTTCAGGCTCTCTTCTCTCCTTTTTGGGAAACTGAGGCATGGGCCTTCTCCAGCACTGCGGCGCTTTCCGTCTTCCCCACGGTCTCTGCCCTGCCATGCCCGAGGCTCAGCAGTGACAGGCGCCTTTTCCTTCTGTGCTGGAGGATAGAGTTACCTGGGCTCAGTGCCCAGTCATCAGGGACAGGTCCCTGATCTCTTCTAACTGATCTTGGCAGTCAGGTCGACAGCTTCATCAGCTACCCAAAGTCAGCCTCCCAGGAAGAGAAAACAAAAGATAATGAAAATTAGGCCACTCTGCTGCCCTCTGTTGTTAGCTATCAGCCTCCCATCCACCCCAGCAGCCACGCGGTCCAGTCCATTTTCTGAGTCTCCCCTTTCCTCAAGTGGAGCTTTTAAAAAGCAAACAGGGCCCACCTTTGTGGCTTCTGTGCTGGCCTCAGACCATTCTGAGCTTTCTTCTCTGGACTCTGCTTTTCTAGCATTGGGCCACACCCCTGCAGCCATCCTCATCCTCTTCCCCATATGCAGGGTTGGGTGGTGAGGACATCAGCCTCTTCAGTGGGGTCCTTGAGGGGTTTTCCTACTAACTTATTTCAAGATGTACATGCAATGATGCCAGACCACATCTGTAGTTATCCTCTCACTGGGTCTGTCGAATAACCTGTGAGAGAGGTGGGTTAAAGAGTTATTTGTTCCCATTTCACAGAGGAGGAACCTGAGGTCCAGAGATTTTAAGTGATTTGGGCGAGGTCACAATGCAAAAACTCCAGGTTCTCCGACTCCAAATCCAGGGCTGTTTGTGTTACACCTAACCCACAATTGTCATTAACATATTTTTGTAGTGATCTGTCCTGTCAGGAGTATACCACTTTCCATTCCTCTGTTATGAGGCTTTTGGCTTCTGATGGAAATCTCATGACTTATATTCTGTACTTTCCTGACTTCTTAGGCAGAGGTTAAGGAACATAATTTCGCCTTGTCTCTGTGACTCAGGGCCATCAATCAAACAGCATTATTGTGTTATTCTTTAATTCAGTCGCGCCCTGAGGATCTGGGGAGGCTGTCAGATTGCCTGTCCCCACACTCACTAGCCTAAGACTCATCTACAGATGGGGAGCGCAGCAATGATGATGTCTCCCCAAGTTTGTTGTTCTTGAAGTGGAACCCCCCCCAGCTCCTTCAAATGATCCTTATACAGCCTTACCCTTGTCTCCGTCCTTGGGACATGTTCCAGGCTGTCAATGTCCTTCTAAAAATATGAGCATCCCAAACTCAAGAGGCCACTGCAGCTGTGATCAGACTGGGGGAAATGCAACGGGTCTCTCCCATGTCCTGTCCCTTGCCCTAGGCCCAGGGCATCTCTGGATAGCCCTGTAGGCTAGCCACACCCCCCCCCCCCCACTCTCTACTTGTGAAGTTGATTATTTGACCCCATGCATCGATAAAACAACCAACAGGTAAAACAAAAGGCTAGAAAGTGTCTCTAGCTCACAAGGACAAATCACAGACTTTAGATTGTCACCAGGGAGAAGCTGTTTCCCTTGCCATAAGGTGTCCCCCATCCCCCGCCAGTCATAGGGTCATGTAAAAGAATGCAGGGAATCAATTCAGAGTCATCTCCAGCCTGGGGAAAGCAAGTGACGGCCCATGTTTGGCCAGGTCTGCCGCCTTGTCTTCATGGGTTCCATTTTCTGGACTTCAAAAACTTGTTCCATTTGGAAAGACCCCTGACCCGCCCCCCCCCAAAAAAAGACAATCGTTCCCTGGTCTCAGCTGCCTTTGTTAGCTTCCTGGGAAGGGGGGACTTTGGAGAAGGAGGATTTTAAAAATGATTGTTCACCCTCTCTTCACAGACACGGACGCCTGCAGCAGAAAATCAGGCAGGCTTAGGGGGCTGACCCACACAGCAAAGAGCAATGGGCCTGCACATCCCTATGACCTGCCATTTCTATGTGACCTGTGCTGTCTGAATTCCAACATCAATGGGATTTGGCATTAGACTCTTTACCAGTAGTTAAAGCAAAAACTGTGGCCAGGGGCCATGAGGAGAGTGATGAAGTTTCATGAAAAGGTTCTCAACATGACGTGAGAAAGTATGGGCATAGCCTCCAAAGAGTGTCCTGGTGTCCAGAGGCAGGTCACTGGGGTAGAGGGAGCGAAACATCTCTCTGGGATTGGTTCGTCACGCAGGCGACAAACGTTTCTTGGCATCTGCTACGCCCAAGGCCCTCCTTGTGTGTTGTCTGAGGGACGACCAGAGGAGACAGAGCTGCTAGGGCCAGGAGCACAGAGGAGAATGTAAGCCACTAGGAGAGAGGTGCGGAAAGGTGGGAAGGAGTTCCTCACATCACACAGTGATAGCCCAGCCACAAGACCAGGGATTCTGGATCTGTGTGATCTCTTGCTTTATCTGGGCCTCAGTCTACTCCTCCATAGTGTGGGTTTAGGGTCTGTTGTCCCCCATAACCTCTGGTTTCCCTTCAGCACAGATCTGACCACGTCACTTACCTCCTCATTGCTTCTAGAATCCAATGTCACCTCCACTGTTTGGCTTTCACAGCCCTTCACCACCTCGGCCCAGCCGACCTCGGCAGCATCTTGTACCTCGCTCCCCCCCACGCTACGATCCAACCAAACCCGCCTTCTGCTCTGTCCATACCTTTGCACTCGTTGTCACCGATGCCTGGGATGCCCTCCCTCTTCACCTCAGGAAGACTGCCTTTCTTCTTTCAACACTTAGCTCAAAGACTATCTTATGTGTGAATAGCAAACTTTCCCTGGGTGGCTCGGTGGCCCAGTGGATAGAGTGCTGGGCCTGGAGCTAGGAAGGCTCATCTTCCTGAGTTCAAATCTGGCCCCAGACACCTACCAGCTGTGTGACCCTGGGCAGGTCACTTCACTCTGTTTGCCTCAGTTTCCTCATCTGTAAAATGAGCTGGAGAAGGAAATGCAAACCACTCCAGTATCTCTGCCAAGAAAACCCCAAATGGGGTCACAGAGAGTTGAACACGACTGTACTGAATGCTTCTCCTGATCCTGCCAACTGCTGGTGCCCTCCCTTCCAAATTACCCATTCAACTACTTTATATGTATTCACATTTATTAACTTTAAATTGTTCTGTATGCGCTCAGACATGTTCTTATTGAATCCCTAGCACCTAACGCAGTGCCTGGCACATAGGCATGTAACAAAGCCTGTTGTTTGATTGATTAGTAAGGGCCTATCTAGCTCTGTGTTACTGAAAACATAGAATAATGTTGATGGAGTTGATTGGCCAAGGAGGGCTTCTTGGGCCACTGGAATCCTGCGCTGCTTGGTGAAAGACGTGGTTGGCGGAGGAAGAGGAGGAGGGGGGAGGCAGTTGCATATCCCAGATCGGGATGAGCCAAGCTCTGGCCACAGGAATGAGCAGCCCTTGTGAGCAATACCTGCGAGAAAACTCTTGTTGTGTTGTGTCCACCTCTTTGTGATCCCATTTTTGGGCAGTTTTCTTGGCAAAGACACTGTAGTGGTCTTGCCATTTCCTTCTCCGGCTCATTTTACAGATGAGGAAACTGAGGCCAGCAGGGTGAAGTGACTTGCCCAGGGTCACCCAGCTAGTAAGTGCCTGAGGCTGGTCTAGTGTCTGAGGTCGTCCTGACTCCAGGCCCAGTACTCTATCCACTGAGCCACGTAGCTACCCAGGAAAATTCTCCTGCCAACTAAATTCTTTAGGATTCAAATTCCTCTTAGTCTTTCGATAGTTAACACCCCCTTTGTGGTGAAATTCTAGGTGTGGCATTTCCAGCTGGAAGGCAGCATTTGTATTTCAATACCTGGTCACCTCTAGTTTTATCTTCAAATA